CTCAACAGAAACCTCTTGCATGGACAATACAATAGGCACACACCTTCGGGCTTTGGAGCATGGCCACCTGAAGGATGTGCCCTATGGTGATATAATCATTCTTCACAAAGGGGACATCCTGCCTTGGGGAGGATTTGGATGTCCCAACTGCCTCACCCATTGTCTTCATCCCCTTGGCTGAAACCAGAGACAAGATATCATCAATTGATCCCATATCCAGGACTAAGGATTAGTGGGGCCTGGCATCCATGCTAGACCAAGGTGCTTATTTCATACACTGGAACAATACAAAAGGCTAACTTGAGGACTGTTGGAGTTATCACCAGCAATTGGACAACAATTAAGCCATTTAAATCCTCTCATTTCTTTCATCCCGGTTCTTTGTTTCCCGCCTGGAACGCCTCCTCCTCCCTCATTGGCCAAAAGGCAAAAGCGGCGCTGGCTCCCTGATTGGCCGAGGTGCGGCAAAGCCAGCCGCACCTCCTTTCCAGCTGATTACACCCACCAAGCAGCGTGAAGCCAGCAAGAGGGGGTGGGAGCAGAATGTTTGAACCTTACAGTACTGTTTTCTCTATAAAAATGTACTGTTCTGCCTTGCAAAACATGTCAGCTTTTGGCAAGGAATTGCAGCTCTACATCCGTACCAGCTGGGATGAAATAAAACAACTTGGTGGCATTTTCTTCAACTTGATGAGACTTTTATTGGGAAAAATCAGGGAAAATTCTTTAGTGCTTCTTTCTGTCTCACCAGGGCAAACGGACTCTCTCTGGTGGGTCTGATTGGTCTCTGCCCCCTGGCAAAGACCCCTAAATTCTTGTTCAATATCACAATGATGGAAATATTTGGGCAATATCATCCCCTCTTTTTAATTATGCTGCCTTATGTTCTAAGAGCTTCAACATGAAGTACACTAACATGATCAAATCCATATATATATACTCTGTTCGTTTTGAGTGGCATCATAATTCAAAAACCGCTGGATTAATTTTCACTAAATTTGGCCACAAGACATCTACTAACCCAAGGAGTGACCATCAGTTTTTTTAAAAATGATTTTGTCATTTGGGAGTTGTAGTTGCTGGGATTTATAGTTAACTTACAATCAAAGAGCATTCTGAACTCCACCAATGATGGAACTGAACCAAGCTTGGCACACATAACTCCCATGGCCAACAGGAAACACTGGAAGGGTTTGGTGGGCATTGACCTTGGGTTTTGGATTTGCAGTTCACCTACATCCAGAGAGCACTGTGGACTCAAAACAATGATGGATCTGGACCAAACTTGGCACGAATGCTCCATATGCCCAAATATGAACACAGATGGCATTTAGGAGAAATAGACCTTGACATCTGGGAGTTATAGTTACTGGGATTTATAGTTCACCTACAATCAAAGAGCATTCTGAACCCCACCAACAATAGAATTGGCCCCAACTTCCCCCACAGAACCCCCGTGACCAACAGAAAATACTATAAATATTAGAAACCAACACTTTTTCATTACTTTTCCAGATCACCAGACCAGACCACAGCAACATGTCATTTATTTTAAAAAGTGTGTTTCATATATTGTATATGGTCTATCTATCTATCTATCTATCTATCTATCTATCTATCTATCTATCTATCTATCTATCTATCTATCTATCTATCTATCTATCTCAAACCAGAAGCTTTTCGAGGATAGCAGTAGAGTGTAATCAAATTACAGGAGCAGAGTCAAGCTTATTGAAAGGACTATGCTTTGTTTACACATCTCCGCTGTAGGATGAATTCAGTTGGTCACTGTTTTATCCAATGCATTGCACATCTAGGATATGTAGTTCGGCAATGTTTGCAGCCTCTGCAAAGAGTTCATGTACCTAACCAAACTTTAACTCCCAGGAGGAGTCCACAGCATTGAGCCACAGAAGTCAAAGTAGTGTTATGCTGCATTAATTCCACAGTGTAGATGCACCTGAGGGCATTTCGGACTTGACCATCAGACCCTTTGTCTTCCAACTCTTTTCTTGGGCCTCTTCCACTGCCGTTCAACTCAATGCCATTCTCCAAAGGATGCCCCAGTGATCACTGCAATCTTGGGTAAGTGATTAAGGTTTTAAAGTCCTGAAAGTAGAATGGAAGCAATCGAGAGGAAGGGGGGTTACTATCCGCTTAAGGGCTCCAGAGGATGAACTTAATGGCAAGAGCAGCTATCCAAACAGGGCTGGGAAGATTCCGCTTAATTACGGCAAGATTCTGGACAGAATTCCATTGCCATGAGCAACACAATCTGGAAATGGGTTGTTGTAGGTTTTTCAGACTATATGGCCATGTTCTAGAAGCATTCTCTCCTGACGTTTCACCTGCATCTATGGCATCCTCACAACCTCTGAGGATGCCTGCCATAGATGAAGCTGAAACGTCAGGAGAGCATGCTTCTAGAACATGGCCATACAGCCCAAAAAACCTACAAGAACCCTGTGATTACAGCTGTGGAAGCCTTTGACAGTGCAATCTGGGAATATTTAGGCTGGGATTGATGGAAGGATGGCTTGGTCAACGATGAATCTGAGTTACCTTCCTCCCCAGAGTTTCCCATTATTATGTTATCAGACATGACTAACCCCATCCTCCCAAAAATAAAAAGGATCTATAGTTTGGGGAATCTATAGTTTGCCAAAGACTTCAGGTTGAAATGATATACAAAGGTAAAGTCTTGGCCACCCTATAACAGGACGAGCAGCAGCATGGACCCTGCTTCTCTCTGGCTATATCTGTATACATCTTATCAGGTTTTATATATATGTATTGCAGTTAAAGTGGAATCAAACTGCATTAATTTGGCAGTGTAGATGGACTCTGGATAAGACCCATTAATTTGGCAGCTTTTTAATGCTTTGCTGCCCTCCAGGGGGGGAACCCATTATTGGCATAAATACAATATTACATTTATTCTTCTTTCTGTTGACTTCTTTCTTCCTGATCAATGCATTCATTCAGATGTAATATAATATTATAATATTATAATAGTATAATGATATAGTATGATATGGGCGAATTGACACCAAATTTGGACACAAGACACCTATCAGGCCAACAAGTAACCATCACACATAAAAACACTGAAAAGTACAGCAGAAGAGACTTAAAAAGCCAAAAAACAAAAATACATTACAACACATGCGTAAAACCGCATATATACACAAACACACATATCTACACATATGCACACATATACAACACATATACACAGTCTGGGGCGCAGCAAAGCGTGGCAGGGGATGGCTAGTAATATAATAATTGTATATTATATGTTACATGTAATATTACTAATAATATTGCAGTGTAGTGGTTTAGTACAATATAATAAGAATATATAATACTAATATTGTGCTATACTAATATTACAATATATTATAGACATATATTAATAATAATAATATAATGTAATACAATATACTAATAATGATAGAATAGAATAATATATAATATCGTAATATAATAATACAAATACATTAAATATAATACCACTGATAATACATATATATATATATATATATATATATATATATATATATATATGGTCGTGTCAGGAGCGACTTGAGAAACTGCAAGTCGCTTCTGGTGTGAGAGAATTGGCCGTTTGCAAGGACGTTGCCCAGGGGACGCCTGGATGAATTGATGTTTTTATCATCCTTGTGGGAGGCTTCTCTCATGTCCCCGCATGAGGAGCTGGAGCTGATAGAGGGAGCTCATCTGCCTCTCCCCGGATTTGAACCTGTGACCTGTCGGTCTTCAGTCCTGCCGGCACAGGGGTTTAACCCACTGCGCCACCGGGGGCTCCGACATATATAATGATACTACATTTTTATTATTGTATATTTGCATATTTTAAGTTGTAATGTTTTTGAAAGTCTCTGAATGAAGAGATAAAGCAGGATACAAATAAATACATAAATACATAAAATGTAAAGTGTTGGGCCCTTTAATATACAAATAAATAAATAAAATGTAAAGTGATGGATTCTAATATGCAAATAAATAATAAAATAAAATAAAATGCAAAGTGATAGACTGTAATATGCAAATAAATAAATAAATAAACTGCAAAGTGATGGGACCTTTAATATGCAAATAAATAAATAAAAACGTGATGGGCTCTAATATGTAAATAAATAATAAAATAAAATAAACTGCAAAGGGATGGGACCCTTAATATGCAAATAAATAAATAAATAACAATATTATGGGTTCTAATATGCAAATAAATAATAAAATAAAATAAACTGCAAAGTGATGAGACCCTTAATATGCGAATAAATAAATAAATAGCAATATTACGGGTTCTAATATGCAAATAAATAATAAAATAAAATAAACTGCAAAGTGATGGGACCCTTAATATGCGAATAAATAAATAAATAGCAATATTATGGGTTCTAATATGCAGATAAATAATAAAATAAAATAAAATGCAAAGGGATGGGACCCTTAATATGCAAATAAATAAATATATAAAATACAACGTGATGGGCTCTAATATGCAAATCAATAATATAAGAAAATGCAAAGTGATGGATTCTTTAATATGCAAATACATAAATAAATAAATAAAATGCAAAGTGATGGACTCTAATATGCAAATAAATAAATAAAATAAAATGCAGTGATGGATTCTGTAATATGCAAATACATAAATAAAATAAAATGCAAATTGATGGGAGTTTTGATATGCAAATAAACAAAATAAAATAAAATGCAAAGAGATGGGCCCTCTCTCAATTGGTGTACTGCGCATGCTTGCAAGGCTCCCCGAGTCAAGGGAATGCTTCCGCGCATGCGCGTTAGAGGGCAAGCAAACGGCACTGCTGGAGGGGAAACAGTGAATGTTTTCGAAACGGCGTTACTGAGCATGCGCAGGGCGGTGCCCAACCAAGGGCAAAAGGCTTTCCGTGTTGGTCACGGCTTCGAGGCTTCAGTGGGCGTTACTGCGCGTGCGCGGAAGGAGCGAGCGACGCATGCGCAGTAAGCTCATTGGGTAGTCCTCTAATCCAGCTCAGCGTTGCAACAACCTTTTTGCAGAGGTAAGAAGGAAAGGACATCAGATATAATATATATATAATATATTTAAGGTATACAGGGTATAGAGATGCATGATGATAGGAATGAGAATAATAATAATATGGAATATAACAAGAATATGAAATATAATAAGACTAATAGGAAGTATAATAATATAGATAGGAATATGAATAATAATATGAATAATAATTATATGAAATATATGAATAATAAGAATAATATGAAATATAACAAGAATATGATATATAATAAGAATAATACGAAGTATAATAATATAGATAGGAATATAAATAATAATTATATGAAATATGAATAATAATATAAATATAAATAATAATAATATGGAATATAACTATATTATGAAATATAAATAATAATAGTAATATGAAATATAACAAGAATATGAAATATAATAAGAATAATATGAAGTATAATAATATAGATAGGAATATAAATAATAATTATATGAAATATAAGTATATTATGAAATATAAATAATAATAGTAATAATAATAAGATGAAATATAACAAGAATATGAAATATTATAAGAATAATATGAAGTATAATAATATAGATATGAATATGAATAATAATATTAATAATAATATAAATATAAATAATAATTATATGAAATATAAGTATATTATGAAATATAAATAATAATAATAATATGAACTATAACAAGAATATGATATATAATAAGAATAATATGAAGTATAATAATATAGATATGAATATAAATAATAATTATATGAAATATGAGTAATAATATAAATATAAATAATAATTGTATGAAATATAAGTATATTATGAAATATAAAGAGGAATAGTACTGTAATATGAAATATAATAAGAATAATATGAAGTATAATAATATAGATATGAATATAAATAATAATTATATGAAATATAAGTATATTATGAAATATAAATAATAATAATAAGATGAAATATAACAAGAATATGATATATAATAAGAATAATATGAAGTATAATAATATAGATATGAATATAAATAATAATTATATGAAATATTAATAATAATATAAATATAAATAATAATTATATGAGATATAACAAAAATATGAAATATAATAAGAATAATATGAAGTATAATAATATAGATAGGAATATAAATAATAATTATATGAAATATGAATAATAATATAAATATAAATAATAATAATATGAAATATAACAAGAATATGAAATATAATAAGAATAATATGAAGTGTAATAATATAGATAGGAATATAAATAAGAATTATATGAAATATAAGTATATTATGAAATATAAATAGTAATAGTAATATGAAATATAACAAGAATATGAAATATTATAAGAATAATATGAAGTGTAATAATATAGATATGAATATAAATAATAACAATATGAATAATAATATAAATAATAATAATATGAAATATAAGTATATTATGAAATATAAATAAGAATAGTAATATGAAATATATTAATAATAATAATATGAAATATAAATAATATTATAAAATAATAATATGGATATAATAATACACCAAATATAATAATAATAGGGGTCCCCGTGATGCAGTGGATTAAACTGCTGGGCTGCAAAAATTGCTGACTGAAAGGTTGACGGTTCAAATCTGGAGAGCAGGGTGAGCTCCCGCTGTTAGCTCCAGCTTCTGCCAACCATCAGTTCGAAAACATGCAAGTGTGAGTAGATGAATAGGTATCACTCTGGCGGGAAGGTAAGGGTGCTCCATGCAGTCATGCAAGTAGCCACATGACCTTGGAGGCATCTACGGACGATGCTGGCTCTTCTGCTTAGAGCCGGCGTTGTCCATATACGCCTCCAAGGTCATGGGGCCGGCATGACTACATGGAGCGCCATTATCTTCCTGCCAGAGCGGTACCTATTGATCTACTCACATTTCAAACTGCTAGGTTAATAACTGGGACGGCATACAGGGAGCCCACAACTCCCATGTTATGTCAACTCCACTGGCTGCCTGATTGCTACCAGCCATAATTCAAAGTGCGGGCTTTGGCCTATAAAGCCCAGTTTACCTGTCTGAACTTATCTCCCTTTACGAACCACTGCGGAAACTAAGATCTTCTGGAGAGGCCCTGATTTTGGTCCTGGCACCATAACAGGCGCATTTGGCAGAGACGAGAGACAGGGCCTTCTCAGTGATTGCCTCTCGGCTATGAAACTCCCTTCCTGGCCATATTAGATCAGCCCCTTCCCTCCTGTCCTTCAGAAGGATGGTGAAGACCTGGATGTGGGACCAAGACTTTGGGGCAGGGCAGTGAGGCAAAATGGTGTCCTGAGATGGTTTTAAAGCAACTTTTAATGTAAAAACTTGGCTTTTTGAGCAAGCTTTCCCAAATGCAGGGTTGCAGACAAACTGATTTTCGGAACGACTGGATATGCGATTGGACAATGATTTTAGTCAATGAGACGCTGAGGATCTATATTTTATTGGTTTTATTATTTTATTTAATGTTAAAAAAGGTAAAAGTAGTCCCTTGACATTAAGTCCAATCATGTCTGACTCTGGGGTGTGGTGCTCATCTCCATTTCTAAGCCGAAGAGCCGGCGTTGTCCGTAGACGCCTCCAAGGTCATGTGGCCAGCATGACTGCATGGAGCGCCGTTACCTTCCCGCCGGAGCGGTACCTATTGATCTACTCACATTTGCATGTTTTCGAACTGCTAGGTTGGCAGTTTAATTTAATAAATTAAATTATTTATTTAATGTTATTTATGCTAAATGTTTTAATTGTTTTTATGTTATTGTGGGCATCGAATCGTGCCATTTGTAAACTGCCCTTGGGCTGAGAACGGTTGTATATAAATATAGTAAATAAATAACTAAATATCTTGATTCCAGTAAGACCTTTCTTCGACAGAGTCCCCCATGACCTTCTTGCAAGCAAACTAGTCAAATGTGGGCTAGGCAATGCTACTATTAGGCGGATCTGTAATTGTTTAAGCGACCAAACCCAAAGGGAGCTTCTCTTCATTGGATCCTTCATTGCGCGACCATATTTCCATCTACGAACCCACACGATCCCTTCGATCTTCCGGAGAGGCGCTCCTTTCACTCCCGTGACTTGCGGGGACGAGAGAGAGGGGCTTCTCTGTGGTGGCCCCCCGGCTCTGGAACTCACTCCCCAGAGATATTAGGCAAGCCCCCACACTGGCAATCTTCAGGAGGAATTTGAAAACCTTGTTATTCCAATGTGCCTTCAGTAATTGAATGTAAGATTCTCCCTGACCACACTTTACACAAAATGTCCTAAGAAGCACTTTATTTTATGGTTTGTGCAATGAAATCCTTCCTCATTCCCAGAGTCTCCTCCTTATAATTTACACTGTCCTATCTCCCAGTGTTTTAAACATTCTTTTAAAACAAATTATCCTTGCATCTGGCCCTGCCTAGTGAAATTTCCTGTGTTTTTAATGCTTGATTTTATATTGTTTTGTCGTATATTATTTTGATTTTGCATTTTATGTATTTTGCTTGGTTTTATTATGTTTTGTGTTATATATTGCTTGTATTGTATTGATGGGTGTGGCCTCATGTAAGCCGCACCGAGTCCCTCTGGGGGAGATGGAGCGGGGTATAAATAAAGCATTATTATTATTATTATTATTATTATTATTATTATTATTATTATTATTATCCTCCTCCTCTTTATCCTGGAAAGAAGTGACTAGTGGAGTTACTTACTTACTTACTTAGGCGATCCCTCGTTGGACGAGTAAGATGGTCTTCCGTTACGGGTTTCCTTGTGGGTCAGGATGTGGCTGTGGAGCCCTATTCTTGCTCTGCATCTTCTTCCGCAGTGAAAGCATTGGTTTCCAGGTGGAAGGCGGTCCCGGTCAGAGTTGGCTTGACGCGCCTTCCTCCTGGGGAGATGCAGGTTCGCAGCTTGGGAGTGACCCTGGACTCATCGCTGAGCCTGGAACCACAGGTTTCGGTGGTGGTCAGGGGAGCTTTTGCACAATTAAAACTTGTGCGCCAGCTGCGCCCGTACCTTGGGAAGTCTGACTTGGCCACGGTGGTCCTCGCTCTGGTTACATCCAGTTTAGACTACTGCAATGCTCTCTACATGGGGTTGCCCTTGAAGACTGCTCGGAAGCTTCAAATGGTCCAGCGCTCGGCAGCCAAGTTACTAACAGGAGCGGCTCTCAGGGAGCATACCACTCCTCTGTTGCGCCAGCTCCACTGGCTGCCAATTTGCTACCGGGCACAATTCAAAGTGCTGGCGTTAGCCTATAAAGCCCTAAACGGTTCCGGCCCTAATTACCTCTCCGAACGCATCTCCACCTATGAACCGACCAGGACATTAAGATCGTCTGGGGAGGCCCTGTTCTCGGTCCCGCCTGCATCACAGGCGCGCCTGGCGGGGACAAGTGACAGGGCCTTCTCAGTGGTGGCCCCTCGGCTGTGGAATGCCCTACCTGCAGACATCAGACAGGCCCCTTCGCTGTTGGCATTCCAGAGGAAGGTGAAGACCTGGCTTTTCAAACAAGCGTTTGGCAAATTAGTGCAATGGAATATAGGAACACGGTGCAATCGAACATAGGAATATGGAACAAAGGTTACGAGAATGGATTCTGATTTGTTGTTGAGGCGCTATGATAATGATTGTTTATTGATATTGATTGTTATGTATAATGTATAATGTGTTTTAATTTGCCTATGATACTGTTTTGTGATAATTTGTATTATGTAAACCGCTTTGAGTCGCCTAAGGGCTGAGAAAAGCAGTATAGAAATAAAGTAAATGAATAAATAAATATAAATAAAGTATTATTATTTTTATCCTCCTCCTCTTCATCCTGGAAAGAAGTGACTAGTGGAGTGCCACGAAGAAGGTTCAGTCCTGGGCTCAGTACTGTTCAATATTGTTTCCTGCACAAAGGCAGAAGGGGTATTGTCCTTGGGCTCCCTTCCGACTCTAGGATCACTCTGGTTGTGTTTTCTCTTTGATAGGAGCCCTCCGGGGGATGCAGGAGCCAAATGCCAAGGATGCCGCCACCTCCGAAGAACGGGTCCGGGAGGCCATCCAGAAGGACCTCTTGGCCGCCGACTTGAAGTGCAGCTTCTTCGCCTCAGCTCTGCAGAGCTACAAGCGGGACTCCGTCCTGCGGCCCTTTCCTGGGCTCTACGTCGCTGAGGAGACCAAGGACTTTGAGGCTTTGGTGAGTTTAATGCAAAAGCAAGTCTCTGAGTTACCAACATCCGACTTATAAATGGCTCCTAGTTATGGACATGGATGAGACAACCGGAAATGAGAAGAATCTACCTTTTAGGAAGGGAAATCCAGTCCTGGAAGAGTTATAGTGTCTAGTGTCTAGATCCAGAGAAGTCATGCTACCTCTCTATTCTACCTTGGTTAGACCACACCTGGAATATTGTGTCCAATACTGGGCACTACAATTGAAGAGAGATATTGACAAGCTGGAATGTGTCCAGAGGAGAGCAACTAAAATGATCAAGGGTCTGGAGAACAAGCCCTATGAGGAGCGGCTTAAAGAGCTGGGCATGTTTAGCCTGAAGAAAAGAAGGCTGAGAGGAGACATGATAGCCATGTATAAATATGTGAGAGGAAGTCACAGGGAGGAGGGAGCAAGCTTGTTTTCTGCTGCCCTGGAGACCAGAACGTGGAACAATGGCTTCAAACTACAAAAAAAGGAGATTCCATCTGAACATTAGGAAGAACTTCCTGACTGTGAGAGCTGTTCAGCAGTGGAACTCTCTGCCCCGGAGTGTGGTAGAGGTTTCTTCTTTGAAAGCTTTTAAACAGAGGCTGGATGGCCAACTGTCGGGGTGCTTTGAATGCAATTTTCCTGCTTCTTGGCAGAATGGGGTTGGACTGGATGGTCCATGAGGTCTCTTCTAGCTGCATGATTGTATGTTTATGGGGAAAAGATGTCTCCACTGAAGCTGTAACTCAAATCCTTGTTTCTTCCAACAGTTTGTGCATTGGGGAGTAGGGTTCAGTCATGGAAAAATCTGATTAAACAACCCTAAAGGTGGGAAATCCTGTCTGATCTTAGAAACTAAACAGATTAAACCAGTTTCCTGTTTGGAATGGTGAATTTGTGCTGAACATTTATAGCAAGCAAAGTTTATTGATTAGTCCACTCTAAACATTTATAGCTTATGGGATTCATGGAGTCTCTAAGGCTGAATATGATCAAAGTAATAATAATAATAATACAGTTTGGACTTCATTATATAATTAATGTAAATAATAATAATAATAATAATAATAATAATAATAATAATAATAATAAATATCTGGGCATACTGCAATTGGACAGTATCAAGCATGGGCATGTGAAAAATGCTCAGCAAAGAATATATCCAAAGAGTCAGAAAGATTTTGAAGAGCAAATTAAATGGCGGAAATACGATCAAGGCTATCAACACCAGGGCCATCCCCGTCATTAGATACACTTCTGGGATTGTGAACTGGACACAAGCAGAGCTGGATGATCTGGACAGAAAAACAAGAAAACTGATGAAAATCCATTACTCATTACACTTGCGTAATGATGTCGGCAGACTTTACCTGCCCAGAAAATCAGGAGGCAGAGGGCTTCTGCAAGTGAAACAAACTGTAGAAGAAGAGAAACATGCACTGGCAGATTATGTGAAAGGCAGTCAAGAACCAACATTGAGGGAAGTCAATAGTAGTAAACTGCTTCAAGTGCAAAAGACAAAGAGTGAATACCATAAAAACACAATCCAGAGCAGAAGAAAAAACTGGCGAAAGAAGGCTCTCCATGGACAGTTCCTGGGAAAAATTGAGAGCCAAATTGACAAAGAAAAACATGGCTGTGGCTCACAAATGGGACTCTGAAAAAGGAGACAAAGGAGGGCCTGATTCTGGCAGCCCAAGAACAAGCCATTTGAACCAATGCCATGAAGGGCCAGAATTGAAAAGTCAATAACAGATCCCAAATGTAGACTCTGCAAGGAAGCAGATGAAACAATAGATCACATCCTCAGCTGCTGCAAGAAGATTGCGCAGACTCCAAGCAGAGGCACAACACCGTTGCTCAGAGGATTCATTGGAACTTGTGCCACAAATACAATTTGCCTGCAACAAAGAACTGGTGGGATCACAAGCCAGAAAGAATTACAGAGAATGAACACGCCAAACTCCTCTGGGACTTCCGGATTCAGACAGACAGAGTTTTGGAGCACAATACTCCTGACCTCACAATCATGTTAAAAAACAAAGTATAGATCGTCAATGTCGCAATCCCAGGTGACAGCAGGATTGAAGAGAAACAACTGGAAAAGCTGACACGATACGAGGATTTAAAGATCGAATTACAAAGACTCTGGCGCAAGCCAGTGAAGGTGGTCCCAGTGGTGATTGGCACACTGAGTGCAGTGCCTAAAGAACTTGGCCTGCACTTAAACACAATCAGCGCTGACAAAATTACCATTTGCCAGTTGCAGAAAGCCACCTTACTGGGATCTGCATGCATTATTCGCCGATACCTTACACAGTCCTAGACACGTGGGAAGTGTCCAATGTGTGATCCAATACAACAGCCAGCAGAGTGTCTTCTATAGACTCATCTTGTTGTGTTTCAAATAATAATAATAATAATAATAACAACAACAACAACAACAACAACTGTATTTATATACCACCCCATTTAACTTGCTAACTTACAAGAGGAAATGCTTTTAGATCAGTGGTTCTCAACCTGTGGGTCCCCAGATGTTTTTGGCCTACAACTCCCAGAAATCCCAACAGCTGTTAAACTGGCTGTGATTTCTGGGAGTTGAAGGCCAAAAACACCTGGGGACCTCAGGTTGAGAACCACTGTTTTAGAGTGCTCCACGTTGTTATATCTCCCGTCCAATGATGACACATTGCATCTTGCAGTCCTCTGGGTGGTATGAACCAAAATGCAAAGATAACGTGCCATAACTAGGTGGAGATGTTGCTCTCTTTTACTAAACTTCTGGAGTCTCTAGGATTGCAAAATGACCCATAAATCCCAGAAGTGAATGCTTTCTCCCTTGGTATCTTTGCAGCTTGCAGATACAAATGCACTTGGGAGCCTGAAAGACCTGTGCGAATCCGCCCACAACGTCGACGGAAGGATCTGGGAGTTGCTCAGCTGGGTTTTGTCCTCCAAGGCCTTGCGTATACACAGCACCAGCAAAACAGAGGTGAGAGTCTCGCTCTTAATGGCGAATGAAGCCTTTGAATCCTTATATTTTGCACAATCCATCTTGAAGCAACTTTGAGCAACATGGCAAGGTGTTTGGGGGCTCTCAAGAGATCAGAGTAAATGTTCAGAATCTTAAAAGCAGGGTGAGGAAACCAGACTTGGAATAGGGCTCACCACCTAAAACAATTCTATATTATGATGATTATTTAATAATTCTAAAACGTAAAACAGGTGTTGACCAACTTCAGCCTTCCTCCAGGTGTTTTGGACTTCCACAATTCCAAACATCTGTGGCTGGATGGCTCTTTGTCAGGAGGGCTTTGATTACATTTTCTTGCCCCAGTGAAGGGAGTTGGACTGGATGGCCTTAAGTATTTTCTGATGGTCATGGGGGTTCTGTGTGGGAAGTTTTCACAATTCTGTCATTTGGGATTCAGAATGCTCTTTGATTGTAGGTGAACTATAAATCCCTGTAACTACAACTCCCAAATGTCAAGGTATATTTCCCCCAAACTCCATCTGTGTTCATATTTGGGCACATTGAGTATTCGTTCCAAGTTTGATCTGGATCCGTCATTGTTTGAGTCCACAGTGCTCTCTAGATGTAGGTGAACTACAACTCCCAAACTCAAGGTCAATGCCCACCAAACCCTCCTAGTGTTTTCTTGTGGTCATAGGAGTCCTGTGTGCCACATTTGGTTCAATTCCATCGTTGGTGGAGTTCAGAATGCTCTTTGATTGTAGGTGAACGATAAATCCCAGCAACTACAACTCCCAAATGACAAAATCATTTTTTTTTCGAGTGAAGGACATACATTGGGTTCTTAGGTGTATTGTGTCCAAATTTGGTGTCAATTCGTTCAGTGGTTTTTGAGTTATGTTAATCCCACAAACATTACATTTTTATTTTTATTTTTATTTTTATTTATATCTCTATCTCTATCTCTTATCTATCTATCTATCTATCTATCTATCTATCTATCTATCTATCTATCTATCCTGTAAGCTGCTCTGAGTCCCCTTTGGGGTGAGAAGGGTAGCATAGAAATATAAACAAACAAATAAATAAATAAATAAAATACAATGCAATATTTTGAGGGTTGGGGATGATGCATGCCTTCAAAGCAAATAACCTTGTTGCATCTCAACTGGTGTTGAAGTACAAGAAGATCCAAGAGCTGACGGGAGCTCCCAGTGTGCCGGTGGCCGAGCCGGACTTCCTGTTCGAGATCACCTATTCCAGCCAGATGAACGCCAAATTCGAGGAGACCAAAGCAGGGAGGGACCTCCTCTATGCCTTCCACGGGAGCCGCCTCGAGAACTTCCACTCCATCGTCCACAATGGGCTGCAATGCCACCTGAACCGGGTAAGGGACGCGTCTCTGGCTTGCAACAAAATCAGAACTCTGAAAGAGCCCTGATCCGTCCGAATAAGCAGCAGTCAAGCTCCCAGCATTCTTCCTCTTTTGCTGTTCCCAAGCAGCCTGTGTAGATACCAGCATGTTATCACAGTGCTTCAGATATTGCCTGAGGAGATGCACAGGATTTGGAATGACATACCAAGCAAGAAGCATCTCAGATGTTAGGACTTTTTATAGATGTATATACTTGTTTTCTGCTGCCCTGGAAACTAGTACTCAATGGAACCATGGGTTCAAATGGCAGGCAAGAAAGGAGATTCCACCTGAACATTAGGAAGAACTTCCTGACTGTTTGAGCTGTTCAACAGTGGAACTCACTGCCTCAGATTCTGGTGGAAACCCCTTCCTTGGAGGCTTTTAAACAGAGGCTAGATGGCCATCTGTCAGGAGGGTTTTGATTGTGTGTCCCTTGATGGCAGAAGGGGGTTTGACTGGATGGTCCTTAGGGTCCCTTCCAACTCATTTATGATTCTATGTCCCAATTTCTCTACGAACTTGCTCATTTTTATGAGTCTGGATGGTCATCTGTTGGGAGGGTTTTGATTGTGTCTTCCTTAATGGCAGAAGGGGGTTGGACTGAATGGCCCTCGGAGTCCCTTCCAATTAATTTATAATTTTACATCCCAATTTCTCTACGAACCTGCTCATGTTTATGAGGCTGGATGTCATCTGTCGGGAGAGTTTTGATTGTGTCTCCCTTAATGACAGAAGGGGGTTGGACTGAGTGGCCCTTGGGGTCACTTCCAACTCATTTATGATTCTATATCCCCATTTCTCTACGAACCTACTCATGTTTATGAGGCTGGATGGTCATCTGTTGGGAAGGTTTTGATTGTGTCCCCCTTAATGACAGAAGGGGGTTGGACTGAATGACCCTTGGGGTCCCTTCCAATTCATTTATGATTCTATATCCCATTTCTCTATGAGCCTGCTCATGTCTATGAAGCTGGGTGGCCATCTGTCAGGAGGGGTTTGATTATGCTTTTCCTGCATGGTGGTTTGGGGTTGAACTGGATGGCCCTCAGAGTCCCTTCCAGCTCTTTGAGTGTAGGTTTTAACCCTCAATGCAGATGTTGTGCCTGTATTGATTTCTAGCTGCCTTGGATAATAATAATAATAATAATAATAATAATCTTTATTGATACCTCGCCACCGTCTCCCCAAAGGAGACTCGGGGCGGCTCACATGAGGCCAAGCTCAAAAATACAATACAGCTGACTGTAATGCAGGCATGGGCAAACTCCGGCCCTCCAGGTGTTTTGGACTCCAACTCCCACCATTCCTAACAGCTTCAGGCCCTTTCCTTTTGTGCTTTTCCATCATGGATGAGAATAACGGCTGTGTGCTTTTGGGAAAGGGAGGATGCCAGGGTTTGGTCCGCTCGCTCCATGTAAACCGGCTTCCCGCTTCTTTCAGACCTCCTTGTTCGGGGAAGGTACCTACCTGACCAGTGACTTGAGCCTTGCTCTCCTCTATAGCCCCCACGGACTCGGCTGGCAGCGGAGCCTCATGGGCCCCGTCCTGAGCTGCGTCGCCGTTTGCGAAATCATCGACCACCCGGACGTCAAGTGCCAAGTCCAAAAGAAAGGTGAACCCTTTGGAGATAAATAAATATAATAACAACAACAACCCAAGATAGGCAGCCCTGGGGTTATAACAACAACAACAGTAACAACAATAACAACAACAACCCAAGTTCGGCAGCCCTGGGGTTCGGGACTGAGCATGAAAATCTAGCATGAAAATCCCCAAGGTGGTCTTGCCATGTATGAATATGCAAAAGGGTGCCCTAAGGAAGAGGGAGCAGGTTTGTTTTCTGTTGCTTTGGAGGCTAGGACTCAATGGAGCCATGGGTTCAAATGACAGGAAAGGAGATTCTAATTGAACATTACAAAGAACATCTTGATTGTAAGAGCTATTCAACAGTGGAACCCTCTGCCTTAGAGTCAGGTGAAATAGAGGCTGGCTGGCCATCTGTCGGGGATGCTTTGATTGTGCTTTTTCTGCATGAAGGCAGAATGGGGTTGGACTGGATGACCCATGGGGTTGCTATTATTATTATTATTATTATTATTATTAAGATTGGGTGGTCATCTGTTGGGAATGCTTTGATTGTGTTTTTCCTGCATAGCAGAATAGAGGGGGTTGGACTGGATAACCTCTGGGGTGGTTGTTGTTATTACAAAGACTGGGTGACCATTTGTTGAGGATGCTTTTAAACAGAGGCTGGATGGCCATCTGTCAGGGATGATTTGAATGCAGTATTCCTGCTTCTTGGCAGGGGGTTGGACTGGATGGCCCATGAGGTCTCTTCCAACTCTTTGATTGGCAGAAAGCGATTGGACTGAATGCCCCCTGGACTTGTTGTTATTGCTGTTGTTGTTGTTGTTGTTGTTGTTGTTGTTGTTACAAAGGCTGGATGGCCATCTGTTGGGGATGCTTTTATTGTGTTTTTCCTGCATAACAGAATAGAGGGAGTTGGACTGGATAACCTCTGGGGTGATCGTTGTTGTTAATACAAAGGCTGGGTGGGCATTTGTTGGGGATGCTTTGATTGTGCTTTTCCTGCTTGGCAGAAAGCGGTTGGTCTGGATGGCCCCTGGGCTTGTTGTTGTTGATGATGATGATATTATTATTACAAAGGCTGGGTGGTCATCTGTTAGGGGTGCTTTGATTGCGCTTTTCCTGCACGGCAGAAGGGGGTTGGGCTGGATGGCTCCTTGAGTTGCTATATTATTACTACTTCTACAATGGCTGGGTGGTCATCTGTTGGGGGTGCTTTGATTGTGCTTTTCCTGCATGAAGGCAGAATGGGGTTGGATTGGATGACCCATGGGGTTGCTATTATTATTATTATTATTATTATTATTATTATTATTACAAATGCTGGGTGGCCATCTGTTGGGGATGCTTTTATTGTGTTTTTCCTGCATAGCAGAATAGAGGGAGTTGGACTGGATAACCTCTGGGGTGATTGTTGTTAATACAAAGGCTGGGTGGCCATTTGTTGGGGGTGCTTTGATTGTGTTTTTCCTGCATAGCAGACAGGAGTTGGGCTGGATGGCCCCTAGGCTTGTTGTTACTATTATTACAAAGGCTGGGTGGCCATCTGTTGGGGGTGCTTTGATTGTGCTTTTTCTGCATGAAGGCAAAATGGGGTTGGATTGGATGACCCATGGGGTTGCTATTATTATTATTATTATTATTATCACTACTACAAAGGCTGGGTGGCCATCTGTTGGGAATGATTTTATTGTGTTTTTCCTGCATAGCAGAATAGAGGAGGTTGGACTTGATAACCTTTGGGTGGTTTTTGTTATTACAAAGGCTGGGTGGCCATTTGTTGGGGATGCTTTGATTGTGTTTTTCCTGCCTGGCAGAAAGCGGCTGGTCTGGATAGCCCCTGGACTTGTTGTTGTTGTTGTTGTTGTTGTTACAGTTACAAAGGCTGGATGGCCATCTGTTGGGGGTGCTTTGATTGTGCTTTTCCTGCATGAAGGCAAAATGGGGTTGGATTGGATGACCCATGGGGTTGCTACTATTATTATTATCACTACTACAAAGGCTGGGTGGCCATTTGTTGGGGGTGCTTTGATTGTGTTTTTCCTGCATAGCAGACGGGAGTTGGGCTGGATGCCCCTAGGCTTGTTGTTGTTGTTGTTGTTACTATTATTACAAAGGCTGGGTGGCCATCTGTTGGGGGTGCTTTGATTGTGCTTTTCCTGCATGAAGGCAAAATGGGGTTGGATTGGATGATCCATGGGGTTGCTATTATTATTATTATTATTATTATTATTATTATTACTACTACAAAGGCTGGGTGGCCATCTGTTGGGAATGATTTTATTGTGTTTTTCCTGCATAGCAGAATAGAGGAGGTTGGACTTGATAACCTTTGGGTGGTTTTTGTTATTACAAAGGCTGGGCGGCCATTTGTTGGGGATGCTTTGATTGTGTTTTTCCTGCCTGGCAGAAAGCGGCTGGTCTGGATAGCCCCTGGACTACTACTACTACTACTACTACTACTACTACTACTACTACTACTACTTCTTCTTCTTCTTCTTCTTCTTCTTCTTCTTCTTCTTCTTCTTCTTCTTCTTCTTCTTCTTCTTCTTGTTACAGAGGCTGGGTGGCCATCTGTTGGGGGTGCTTTGATTGCACTTTTCCTGCATGGCAGAAAGGGGTTGGGCTGTATGGCCCCTTGAGTTTCTATATTTTTATTACTACTACAAAAGCTGGGTTGTCATCTGTCAGGGGTGCTTTGATTGTGCTTTTCCTGCATGGAGACAGAATGAGGTTGGACTGGATTGCCCTTAGGGTTGCTCCTCTTGTTGTTGTTGTTGTTGTTTTTATTACAAAGCCTGGGTGGCCATCTGTCAGGGGTGATTTGATTGGATTACAAAGGCTGGATGGTCATATGTTGGAGGTGCTTTGATTGTGCCTTTCCTGCATGAAGCCAGAATGGGGTTGGACTAGATGGCCCCTGGGGTCTTTTCCAACTTTATGATTTTGTGAGTCTTCTTAAAAGGATTTTTCCCTTTCTTTTTCCCCCCTGTAGATTCTAAAGAAATAGACAAGAAGCGAGCCCGAGTGAGGAACAGCGAAGGCGGCGACGTCCCCCAGAAATATTTTGTGGTGACAAACAACCAGCTGATCCGGGTGAAGTACTTGCTGGTATATTCGCAGAAGCAATATCGCAGGTGAGCGCCATGCCGCTTCTCGGCTGCGGGAATGGGTTCTCCGTTCTCACACCGAGTTTGTACTGCCTTCTATCAAGCAAAGTCTCAGTGTAGTATATAATTATAGTGGAAATGGTTGGGTAACTTTTTTAAAAACAGGAAAAACACATCAGAAGAAAAGATTTATGGAAAATAACTATATTTATATATAAGAAAGTTAGGGCCTCTCTCTCTCTCTCTCTCTTTGGAGACATCTTGTCACTCTCCATGCTCACAGGAGAAGAGCAAAATGGAGCTAGAAACTTTGAAGAGAGAGACAGGCAAACAAAGGGTGCAATGGGGGAAGAACCTAACCCAGTGTTTCTCAACCTAGTGGTCGGGACCCCTGGAAGGGTCGCGAGGTGGTGTCAGAGGGGTCACCAACCATCAGAAAACACAGTATTTTCTGTATTGTCAAAGGCTTTCATGACTGGAATCACTGGGTTGTTGTAGGTTTTTTTGGGCTATATTGTCATGTTCTAGAGGCATTCTCTCCTGACGTTTTGCCTGCATCTATAGCAAGCATCCTCACAACCTCTGAGGATGCTTGCGATAGATGCAGGCGAAACGTCAGGAGAGAATGCCTCTAGAACATGGCTATATAGCCCAAAAAAACCCTACAACACCACAGTATTTTCTATTGGTCACGGGGTTCTGACTGAGAAGTTTGACCCAATTCTCTTGTTGGTGGGTGGGATTCAGAATGCTATTTGATTGTAGGAGAACTATAAATCCGAGCAACTACAACTCCCAAATGTGTCAAGGTCTCTTTCCCCCAAAGTCCACCAGTGTTCACATTTGGGCATATTGAGTATCCGTGCCAAGTTTGGTCCAGATCAATCATTGTTTGAGTCCACAGTGCTCTCTGGATGTAGGTGAACTACAACTCCCAAACTCAAGACCAATTTCCACCAGACCCTTCTAGTATTTTCTGTGGGTCATTGGAGTTCTGTGTGCCAACTTTGATTCAATTCCGTCATTGGTAGGAGTTCAGAATGTTCTTTGATTGTAGGTGAACTATAAATCCCAGTAACTACAACTCCCAAATAACAAAATCAATCCCCCCAAATTCTTCAGTATTCAAATTTGGACGTATCGGGTATTTGTGCCAAAGTTTGTCCAGTGAATGAAAATACATCCTGCATATCAGATATTTACATGACGATTCATAATAATAGGAAAATGACAGTTATGAAGCAGCAACAAAAATAATGTTATGGTTGGGGGTCACCGCAACATGAGGAACCGTATTAAGGGGTCGTGGCATTAGGAAGGTTGAGAACCACTGGCCTAACCCATCTGCCTATCTATTTCCTCGATGAGGACTATAAACTTGTGCAGGATGTGGTTGAATTCCAGCATCGGTTTTACATGTTTTTGTAGAATCAAGGAGTTGATTGAGAGAGACCCCAAGGGCCAACCCCCTGCTATTCATTCAGGAGGGCACAATCCAAGCTCTCCCAACAGAGACCCGATCCGTCATTGCTTTCTCCTTCCCTGCAGGTGTTCCAGCCAATCGTGGCTCTCCTCGCACCGCTTTGCCTTGATGATGAGCCTCTACCTGCTGCTCCTGATGCTCATCGGTGCCAGCAACTCCCCGGCTTTCCTGTCCTATTGGAGCAGACTCTTTGATTCCCGGCGATGATGAGCTCGGAGAGGCTCTGCTCACTTCCACCCAAATGCCTTAATAACAAAACTTTCCTGAGCGGCCATCAACCCTGCATTTCCGGACCAATGAAGAGGCTCGAGTGGGACGTGTTTCCGCCGTCTTCATTCCCCGGCATGGCTTTTCATATTGTATTGGTTTGGCCTTGCTTCCCTTCCCGAGAGTCAGGAAGCAGCAACCTCTTTGTTATGGACTTTTTGGAAGGCCAACAAGATGAAACAGCAGCCGTTTTCCTGTTGGATAAAAATTCCCAAATCTGGGCTGTGTGTCATCTGCCATCGTGTAGCAATATCTCTATTCATTTTGCAAAGGAGGGAGTCTGTTCTTTATCCAGCATCTCTTGGGGATCTTTTGTTTTGTTTCCAACCTGAGCGTCAGAAGCACTGAACTGTGTGATGTATCGGCGAATAATGCGTGCAGATCCCAGTACGGTAGCCTTCTGCAGCTGGCAGATGGTCATTTTGTGTTTAAGTGCAGGCCAAAGTCTTTAGGCACTGCACCCAGTGTGCCGATCACCACTGGGACCACTTTTACTGGCTTGCGCCACAGTCTTTACAGTTCTTTAAATCCTCATATCGTGTCAGCTTTTCCAATTGTTTCTCTTCAATTATTATTATTATTATTATTATTATTATTATTATTATTATTATTATCTTTATTTATATCCTGCCTTTCTGTCCGTAAGGACTCAAGGCAACTAACAATCCCACACTTTAGGCAAGTTTTAAAAAGCGCAATGCAAAAGTTAAAAAAAACCCCAATGAAATAGAAACAATGTGTTATCGAAGGCTTTCATGGCCATGATCCGGAAGCATTCTCTCCTGATGTTTTGCCCACATCTATGGCAGGCATCCTGAGAGGTTGTGAGGTCTGTTGGAAACTAGGCAAGTGAGGTTGATATATCTGTGAAATGATGTCCAGGGTGGGAGAAAGAACTCTTGTCTGCTTAAGGCAGTGGTTCTCACCCTCCTTAATGCCATGACCCCTTAATTCATCGTGTTGTGGTGACCCTCAACCATAAAATTATTTTTGTTGCTACTTCATAACTAATTTTGCTATGATTATGAATCATAATATAAATATCTGATATGTAGGATGTATTTTCATTCACTGGACCAAATTTGGCACAAATACCAGAAACACGCAAATTTGAATACTGGTGGGATTCAGTGGGGAGATTGATTTTGTCATTTGGGAGTTGTAGTTGCTGGGACTTACAGTTCACCTACAAACAAAGAGCATTCTGAACTCCACTAACAATGGAGTTGAACCAAATGTGACACACAGAACTTCCATGACCAACAAAAATAATGGAAGGGTTTAGTGAGCATTGACCTTGAGTTTGGGAGTTTTAGTTCACTCAAATCCAGAGAACACTGTGAACCAATGATGTATCTGGACCAAACTTGGCACGGTTACTCAATATGCCCAAACGTGAACATTGGTGGAGTTTGGGGAAAGTAGACCTTGACATTTGGGAGTAGTAGTTGCAGGGATTTATAGTTCACCTACAATCAAAGAGCATTCTGAACCCCACCAACTATAGAATTGGGCCAAACTTGGCACGCAGAATACCCATGACCAACAGAAAATACTGTGCTTTCCTATTGTCTTTGGCGACCCCTCTGACCCCCCCTCGTGACCCCCCCCCCCCCAAGGGTCCCAACTCAGGTTGAGAAATGCTGGGTTAAGGCAAGGGTGAATGTTGCAGTTGGCCACCTTGATTAGCCTTGCAGCTTTAAAGCCTTGCTTCTTAATGCCTGGGGAAATCCTTTGGGAGGTGTTTCTCTTTGTCATCTGACATGGTAGTTATTAGAGTGGTCCAGCATTTCTGTGTTCCCAAATAATATGCTGTATCCAAACTACAAACTATCTACACAACTCAGAAAATCCAACAAATGCTCCGTTCAGCAAAGGACAAGAGGGATCCTCTCCCCTTTGCAGGAGTCTACCATATCCCATGCAGCTTTGGACAAGAAGTCTACACAGGGATCACCAAATGCAGCATTGCCCAAACATGAATCAGAAATGACACACAACATGCACCTGTGTATCTGAGTCCTTATTTTGAAAACACACCAAGGAACAAACAGAAACAGCTAGAGTTTGGAAACATTATTCTTTCTGAATTTGGTTATTTGCCATTTGCAGAATTTTCCACCTGAGTTATTCAAAATGAACTTGTGGTCCATGATCTGCTGCTTGTGAAAGAGCTCTTAATTGCTGGTCCTTGGAGACTGTCCAGGAGGAGCAGTGGGAGCCAACAAATACAAAAATTGTCCCATGTTTCCCCCCACAAAGTTGGGAATTAAAACGTTGCATCTTGAAAATTCTGCAACAATACCAAAGCAACCTTTTTCAGGGGTAGCCTGAAAAGTCTCCGATTGTTTGGACTGAGTCAGCACAACTCAAGAAGCAGGTAGTCCATTCTTTGGAACGGGCCATTATAACCAGGAGGGAAAAAGGAAGTTACTTCTAATAGGTAAAGGTAAAGGTAGTCCCCTTGACATTAAGTCCAGTCATGTCTGACTCTGGGGTGTGGTGCTCATCTCCATTTCTAAGCCGAAGAGCCAGCGTTGTCCGTAGACACCTCCTAGGTCATGTGGCCGGCATGACTGCATGGAGCGCTGTTACTTCTAATAGTTTTCCTTAAAAAGAAACTTTAGGAGCATGAGTTGCATTCTCAATAGACTCAAAGGGGTAGAAATCAAATCCATTAACAGCATTCCTTGTGCACCCCACTTCACATGTGCCTGCTCCTTTGATACCCTCATTTTCACAATCAGTTCTTATATTTAGTTTCTGGCTCCTCACTTGTCCAGTCGCAGTTGGAGAGTTCAACATTCATGAGTGAATGGGTCCAGAGGACTTTCGCTCTCCAAGCGCCTGACTCTTAAAAAGCAGTATGCATCGTCCCGCCGTTGGAAACGCTTGAACGGGGCCGGCTCTGTTCGCGGTCCTCTTTGTTTTTGAGTTCTGTAATAACGGCCAGGCTTTTCTCTTGGTGGGTCAAGGTGAGCTTCAGGCCCTTGAGGCACATCTTCATGTCCTCGCGGAAGGACGGGGTGTAGAGCCCGTAAACGATGGGGTCGGTGCAAGTGTGCAGAAGGCCAAAGAGGAATAGGAAGTGGCTGACGTATTCTGGCATTTGGCGTATCATGTCGGGCTGGAACCAGTACCACAAGCCCAGGAGGTAGTACGGAGTCCAGCAAACGATGAACGAGGCCACGATCAGGATGGTCATGGTGAGGGTCTTCATGCGGGCCTTGGAGATGTGGTCATCCTTCCCTCTGGCTAGACCTGCGGGGAGAATCCCAGAGGGGTTAATAGTGCAGAAAAGGAGCCAGATTGGCAACTGAATGGCATAAATGTGGTGGAATTGGAACGTTATCCCTATGTGGTGAGGCTGTTAAAAGCTACAAAAAGTTAAGAATGAGATGGTGCTAAATCTGGACTGTATGGAGGATGTCGTACTATGGTGAGATCCAGTCTCTGAAGTTTCAAGTCTGTGCACTTTCATTTTAGGCATCAGTATCCTGGGTACCCATCATGCACAGATCTTCCAATAGCCATATATATATGGCAACTGAAAGATACTTTTAATGTAGGAGAATGCAGCCCTTATCAACTCTCCTCATCCTAGCCAACCATAATGGATGATAGAAGCTGCAGTTCAGCCAAATCTGGAGGTAGATGCCATAGGTGCTTCTTATGTTGGAGGATTGTTGGGTTTTAATGCTCTCTCTGTAAAAGAGCTGTCCAACTTCTGAACACAACAATGTGCACCTTGTATAGCTCATTAGAAGTGAAGCCTGGAGGGAATTCAATGCCCCATTGGCATAGGCGCTCTACCCTGGTGGCGCAATGGGTTAAAGTGCTGAGCTGCTGAACTTGCTGACCGAAAGGTCGCAGGTTCGAATCCGGGGTGTTGCGTGAGCTCCTGCTGTTAGCCCCAGCTTCTGCCAACCTAGCAGTTCAAAAACATGCAGATGTGAGTAGATCAATAGGTCCAGCGGGAAGGTAACAGCGATCCATGACATCATGCTGGCCGCATGACCTTGGAGATGTCTACGGACAACACTGGCTCTTCAGCTTAGAAATGGAGATGAGCACCACCCCCCAGAGTCAGACACATCTGGACTTAATGTCAGGGGAAAACCTTGACCTTTTAACTACCTGCATGCTTTGTCTGGAGGGTTAACCTTTTCCTATGCCTGCTCGAGTTTATCTCTGATGTCTTTAACTCCATGGTGGATGTTTCTTTGGGAACAAAGCCACTTGAAAAGAGAAAATCCATTAAGATGCGTAATTGCAGAACCCATTTCCATAATTTTCACAAAATATCTGTGCCCAGGGGGAAATGGTCTCTAGGAATTTTCTAGGTCCTTGATGGTATCTTGGAACTGGAAGTCAGGCAATTTAATGACACTTGGTCATATACATGGTTTCAGTTAACCACAATCCAGCTGGGAATCTAGATTCAGGGATTTGACAGTATTCGATAAGTCTATTGGCGCCAAATGGTCAAGAATCCTAGACTCACCTTGGTTAATTTTCAGCTGCTTGCTAATCTCAAACAAGATGCGGATGTAGCAGACGACCATCACGCTCAGTGGGGTGACGTAGAGAGTGGTGAATGTGAACATGTTGTAGGTGGTCTCCTGCCAGCGCTCTTTGAAGCTTCCATGCGTTACGCATTGGGTGAAATTGACCCCTGGGACGGTATAGAGGTGGAAAAGGAAGAGCTGGAATGGATACGGAGAAAGGAGTTCAGACTTCTCTGGGAGGCAAAGATGCTCTCTGTAGTTATAAGAAGGAGAGTCCACCTAAACATGAGGAAGAACTTCCTGATCATAAGAGCAGCCCAACAGTGGAACTCTCTACCTCAATGGAGGCTCCTTCTTTGGAGAAACAGCTCACACAGTTAGGAAGTTCTTTCTAATGTTCAGGTGGAATCTCCTTTCCTGTAGTTTGAAGCCATTGTTCTGTGTCCTAGTCTCCAGGGCAACAAGCTTGCTCCCTCCTCCCTAAATAAATGACTTCCTCTCATTTATTTATACATGGCTATCGTGCCTCCTCTCAGCCTTCTCTTCTTCAGGCTAAACATGCCCAGCTCTTTAAGCCACTCCTCATAGGGCTAGTTCTCCAGACCCTTGATCCTTTGAGTTGCTCTCCTCTGGACACATTTCAGCTTAGAGTCAACATCTCCCTTCAATTGCAGTGCCCAGAATTGGACACACTGTGATTCCAAGTAAAGTAGTATCACCAAGGCAGGATAGAGGAGTAGCATGACTTCCCTGGATCTAGGCACTAGGCTCCTATTGATGCAGGCCAAAATCCCATTGGCTTTTTAAGCCGCCATATCACATTGTTGGCTTATGTTTAACTTGTTGTCCACGAGGACTCCAAGGTCTTTTTCACACAGACTGCCATCTAGCCAGGCATATTCCCCCATTCTGTATCTTTCTTACCTGAGGAGAGGCCAGCAAGACGCTGAGCACCCAGGCCACAGAGAGCATGACCCGATTGCGGCGACTGGAATTCGCAAAGGAGAACGGGCGAAGGACGGCCGCGTGTCTGTCCAAGCTGATAACCACCAGTACTAGGGCAGCCGAGTACATGGCAAAGAGCTTGAGGAAGTTGAGGAGCTTGCAGAGGCTGTCTCCGGCATACCACTGGATGGTGATGTTCCACACAGCGTCCAGAGGCATCACGATGGTGGTCACCAGCAGGTCAGCTGCGGTCAAGCTGAGGATAAGCAGCTGGACATGAGACTTGCGCCTCTTCCGGGTCACGCTGTACAGGACCACCGAGTTGCTGCAGGCCGCCACCACGAAGAAGCAGCTGGTGACCACCACCCGGGTCCTGGCCGCCAAGGTGAAGACGGGCTCGAGCCAAGCCTCCTTGGGGCAGGCGGAGAGGGACGAGTTCTCATCCGGAAGGTTGCATTCTTGGAGAGCGTTCATCGGCGGTTCTCCGTCAGCCATGACCTGAAAACACAGATTACATTATGTAACATAATGTTTGTTCCTGAGTTATCAATATCATTTCCTAATTGGATCTATCATAAAAACATGGGAAATGTATTGCTGAAGAGTTTCATGGCTGGAATCACTGGGTTGTTGTAGGTTTTTTGGGCTGTATGGCCATGTCCTTATGTCAGGATGTGGACTTCGAGTTAAGAAAACACAGCCAGAGCCTCCTCCGGGCCTCGAAGACTCCCTCCTGACATCGTTGTGTTTTATGGTTTGATAGGGGAGCCATCTGGAAGAAGAGAATGCTTTGTTGATGTGGAAATGGAATGTAGTCACAACTTGTGATAAGGGGGGAAGAAGCGAGGAGGAACCAAGGGGGATGTATTGCTGGGCATTGGCGGGAAACCCTCAGATCTCTCTTTCTACGTATCCTGTACAGACTGAATAAACCCGTGTTCAAGAAATTGGCCTTGTGAGTGTGGCTTTGTTCTAAGATCTGGCAGGAGCTGACATCTAGAAGCATTCTCTCCTGATGTTTCACCTGCATCTATGGCAGGCATCCTCAGAGGTTGTGAGGTCTGTTGGAAACTAGGAAAATTGGGTTTATATATCTGTGGAATGTCCAGAGTGGGAGAAAGAACTCTTGTCAATTGGCCACCTTGATTAGCATTTGATGGCCTGACAGCTTTTAGGTGTGGCTTGTTCTTGCTTGGGGGAATCCTTTGTTGAGATGTGATTAGGTGTCCCTGATTGTTTCTTGTCTGGAGTTCTCCTGTGTTTGAGTTTTGTTCTTTATTTACTGTTATAATTATAGAGTTTTTTTAAATACTGGTAACCAGATTTTGTTCATTTTCATGGTTTCTTCCTTTCTGTTGAAATTGTCCACATGCTTGTGGATTTCAATGGCTTCTCTGTGTAGTCTGACATGGTGGTTGTTAGAGTGGTTCAGCATTTCTGTGTTCTCAAATAAGATGCTGTGTCCAGGTTGGTTCATCAGGGGCTCTGCTATGGCTGACTTCTAGTGTGCAGTGCCTTTCATGTTTCTTGATTCGTGTTTGGGCAATTCTGTTGCGTTTGGTGGTTTCTATGAAGACTTGTCCACAGCTGCATGGTGTATGGTAGACTCCTGCAGAGGTGAGAAGGTTTGTCTTGTCCTTTGCTGAATGTAGCATTTGTTAGATTTTCTTGGTGCGTCTGTAGGTCGTTTGTATGTTGTTTCCTCATCAGATTTCCTATGCAGTCAGTGGTTCCCTTGATGTATGGCAAGAACACTTTTTCTCTGAGTGGATCTTTGTCTTTACTCTTGGATCTTGTTTTCTATGTTTTGCAGCTCTTCTGATGTCTGAGGTGGAGTGTCCATTGGCCTGTAGAGCCCAGTTTAGGTGGTTCAGTTCATCTTGGAGGAGGTTGGGTTCCACAAATTCTTTTTGCACGGGCTGCCAGGGCTTTAATCGTGCTTCTTTTTTGACTTTGGTGATGGTTGGAGTTTTTATGTAGGTATCTCTGTATCAGGCTTGAGGGGCTTCAGCCCCCCCCCCCCCGAAAAAATTCAGCCCCCTCCCCCCGAAACGAAATCCTGGCTACGGGCCTGCTCTGTGTGTAGGTTTTTTTGTACACTGTGTGACCAAATTGTTGATCTGGTTTGCAGATGACTAGGCCATCTAGAAAAGGCAGTTATCCTTCATTTTCTTTTTCCATGGTGAATTGCATGTTTGGGTGGATGCTGTTAATGTGGTCCAGGAACCTGTTTAGTTCTTCTTCTCCATGGCTCCAAATGGTGACAGTGTCATCAACCTATCTCACCCATATAATGGACTTTTTTGTTGGTGTTTCCAGGGCTTGTTTTTCAAAGTGTTCCAAGTAGAAATTTGCTATGACAGGGCTGAGAGAGCTCCTCATAGCTCCTCCATCTTTCTGTTCATAGAATTCATTGTCCTACTGGAAGTAGCTTGTGGCGAGAACTCCCATGATCAACAGAAAATACACAGAACCCCATGACCAACAGAAAATACTGTGTTTTCTGATGGTCTTCGGCAACCCCTTGGATAGCCCTTTGTGACTCCCCCAGGGGCCGCAATCCCCAGGTTGAGAAACACTGCTCTATTATTTATTTATTTATTTACAGTATTTCTATTCCGCCCTTCTCACCCTGCAGCGGACTCAGGGCGGATTACAATGTACCTATACATGGTAAACATTCAATGCCATCGGCACACAACATATATAGACAGACACACAGAGGCTATTTAACATTCCAGCTTTTTCATGAGGGTATTCTGGCCACCAGGGGAGCTGTCGCTTTGCTGTCCATTTCTGACACTGATTAAGTACTTCCTCATTCTTTGTATGCTTGCTGGATATTTTTATGGCGTCCTAAAGTAGCCTCCCCGCATAAGCGGTACCTAAATTTCCTACTTGACAGATGCAACTGTCTTTTGGGATGCAAAGGTCGACAGCAAGCTATACAAATTGGTTGGAAGCTCATTCCGACCAGGGCTGGCTTCGAACTCATGACCTTTTGGTCAGTAGTGATCTTAATGCAGCTGACTCCCAGCCAGCTGTGCCACAGTCCCGTGTGATGAGGTAGCTGGAATATAGTCCAGCTTTGCCATAAACAGCTACTGAAACCAAAGTCCTGTAAGTACAAGGAGACTTGCTCACAGGGAAGTTAGTATACAAGATGGAAATTTTTTAAACCTAATCTCTCCATTACTGCAGCAAAATGGATGGGGGGAAAAAACCTGAGAGTGTGCCAGCAAGGGGTAAATCAATGCCAGGAAGTGCACAGCATCATGTAAAACGCCAGCAAATACTACTCTGCCGATCAATTATTAAAATGTGAAGTCAAAGCAGAGATAGGTAAACAAAAACAGGGTTAGGCAAATGAATATGAAAAACAGAGCTCTGCAAAGAGAGATCAGCTCAGCCAGGAATGGAATGGGCTGCGGGTTTCTTTGGCGTTTGATGTAAAAACACGCATACATACATGCAAGTGACCTTTAAAGATTCCAAGTATATCAGAATCAAAAAATCAGAGCCAAATTGATCGGCTGGCTGAGTCAGCTCCTGATTTCAGGGACGTTTTATTCCCAAGGCTGATTGTTTCCATGTAAGAGGAGCAGTGGAAGCACACTGGGTTTTGGTCTTTCTGGAGCAAAGTGTTGATTCTTATCCATCGAATTGTTACAGCACCCCATCAGCCCAAACTGGGAACATATTGGCTGCTCCACAAGCACCCCTCTGGTTAATGTATTCTCAAAGGCTTTTCCTAGTTTCCAACAGACCTCACAACCTCTGAGGATGCCTGCCATAGATGCAGGTGAAATGTCAGGAGAGAATGCTTCTAGAACATGGCCAGACAGTCTGGAAAACTCACAACATTCCTCTGGTTTCACTCCCATTAACACAAGAATGCTATGATCCAACACTCTCCCAGCAGAGCGGGAATATCTTCATATGGAGATATGGTGCATCAGCACTACACAACCCTCCATGTGCACTAGCAACATTTACACTTGCCTCAAGCAGACAATAGTTCTTTCTCCCACCCAGGACATCATTCCACAGATATATAAACCTCACTTGCCTAATTTCCCACAGATCTCACTATCTCTGAGGATGCCTGCCATAGATGTGAGTGAAAAGTCAGGAGAGAATGCTTCTGGAACATGGTCAGACAACCTGGAAAACTCACAGCAACCCATGCCAACTATTGTGTGCCATTGTGCAATGCACAATGGCAATATTCATTGCGCAATTGTGTTGCAGTGCATAGCCACAATGTTCATCCAGTAGAGCAGTGGTTCTCAACCTTCTTAATGCCACAACCCCTTAATACAATTCCTCATGTTGTGGTAACCCCCCACCCGTAATATTATTTTTGTTGCTACTTCATAACTGCCATTTTGCTACGGTTATGAATCGTAATGTAAATATCTGATATGTATTTTCATTCACTGGACCAAATTTGGCACAAATACCTGATATGTCCAAATTTGAATACTGATGGGGTTGAGGGGAGGGATTGATTTTGTCATTTGGGAGTTGTAGTTGCTGGGATTTATAGTTCACCCATAATTAAAGAGCATTCTGAACTCCACCAACGATGGAATTGAACCAAACTTGGCACACAGAACTCCCGTGACCAAGAGAAAATACTGGAAGGGTTTGGTGGGCACTGACCTTGAGTTTTGGAGTTGTAGTTCACCTACATCCAGAGAGCACTGTGGACTCAAACAATGATGGATTTGGACCAAACTTGGCACAAATTACTGAGTATTTGTAAATACTCAGGACACCCAAATGTGAATACTGGTGGAGTTTGGGGAAAACAGACCTTGACATTTGGGAGTTGTAGTTGCTGAGATTTATAGTTCACCTACAATCAAAGAGCATTCTGAACCCCACCAGCAATAGAATTGGGCCAGACTTCCCACACAGAACCCCCATGACCAACAGAAAATACTGTGTTTTCTGATGGTCTTTGGTAACCCCTCTGACACCTACCTCGTGACCCCCCCTCCAGGGGTCCCAATGCCCAGTAGAGTATTTTGCTGTGCTACAGGGTTGGACTGGATGGCCTTTGAGGTCTCCTTCAACTTCATAATCCTATGGTTTTATGAATAGTTCATCCACATGAGCAACGCAAGTGAGGCAAGCTGATGTTGCTAATGGAAAGCCAGTCTTAAGATGCCAAGCAAGCATCTCAAATGAGTATCCGATAAAAAGAAAGCAAGAGAGCATTCATAGAATCATAGTGTGGGAGAGACCTCCAAAGGCTATCCAGTTCAACCCCATTCTGCCTTGGGGGAAAATACAACCAAAGCATTCCTGATAGAGCAAGCATGGGCAAACTTTGGCCATCCAAGGCATGGGCAAGCTTGGGTCCTCCCACAATTCCTAACAACCTCAGGCCCTTTCCTTTTCTCCCTCAGCCACTTAGATTGTTAGGAATTGTGGGAGTTGGAGTCCAAAACATCTGGAGGACCAAGCTTGCCCATGCCTTTGGTGGAGCCTTTGCTTTAAAAGCTCCAGAGAAGGAGATTCCATTACTGTCCAATGCCAAGTCGATACCCCAAAATCTATGCTCCCTTCAAGTGCCATCTACTGTACCTGGACACCCTTTGACCTTGAAAGGAAACAGGAAGAAATAAGACCAGGTTTCATTGTCTCACCTCAGCTGATGCCAAGTACTTCAAACTCCCTCTCTATGTTGTAGCATCTCAAGTCTTCGGCGCAACCCAAGATCAGAAAGGTGAGCTGTAGAGCTTTGCCGTGCCACCGCTGTGCCAAGGTCTTCCCTTCTCTCCAGACGAAACACCCACGAGAGCCACCGCCAAGGAGAGACAACTATTGATGGGAGATAGAAAAGTCACACCAAGGATAGAGAAGCCCACCCTGTTGGCCTCGGTCCCGTCTGCTCCAAGCAGCAAAGTGGTTTTGCCCGAACGGAGCACCGAGCAAAGCGGTGGAGCTGTGCAGCAGATTGCAAAACACAGAGCTTGCGGTGACTATTTTTATTCCCTCTGCAGCCAGCCAAGATTTTCTCTGCACCTATGGCAGGCGTATTGCTTTGGATTGATCCGAGAGTTAGGGGAAGAAACCAAAGCAAAGGTCAAGTGCGCGAACAGTGCCATGTGAGGACAAAGCCTTCGTTGTATACTGCATTCTGATCTAACGTTATAGTATAATATATATCAGGTACAATGAAGTTTTTGGGAAAGGGAGGTGCAGGGGAAGTCACTTTGTTGCGGTGTGCCTTTGCTTCTGACCTATGGAGAAGCTATAATGGGGTTTTCTTGGCAAGGTTTCATCAAAAGGGGATTACCATTGCCTTCATATTCTCTCTTTATGTAAGGTCACACAATAGCTTTACATACAATCCCAGAAGTAGGGCCAAATCTAACAGTTTGAAGTTACAGCATGATAGGCTTTGTTGACTATTAGATGGACATTCTTGGCCTAAGAGCAGTTCAGCAATGGAACCAATTGCCTTGAGTAGGGGTCCGCAAAACTAAGGCCGGGGGTCTGATACGGCCCTCCAAAGTAATTTACCCAGCCCTCACTCAGGGTCAACCTAAGTCTGAAACGACTTGAAAGCACACAACAACAACAACAACAACAACAACAACAATCCTATCTCATCAGCCAAAAGCAGACCCACACTTCCCATTCAAATACTAATAAGTTTAAATTTGTTAAAATTGTTCTTCATTTTAATTCCTGTATTGTTTTGAAGTGTTTTTTGCACTACAAATAAGATATGTGCAGTGTGCATAGGAATTGATTCATTTTTTTTTCAAATTATAATCTAGCCCTCCAACAGTTTGAGGGACTGTGACCTGGCCCCCTGTTTAAAAAAGTTTGAGGACCCCTGGTCTAGAGGTGGTGGGGTCTCTTCTTTGGACAGCTTCTTGTTGGGAATGCTCTAGTTCAAATATGGGCAAACCCAGGCCCAGGGGTCAGATGTGGTTCCTTGGGATCTTTTCTCAGGCCCTCCTCTCTCTCATCATCCTATCCTTCCTTCCTTCTCTCTTTCCTTCCTCCTTCTCTCACTCTTTCTCCTTCCCTTCCACRGTTTCATTCTTCCCTCTCTCTTTCCTCCCTCCCTCCATCCCTTCCTTCCTTTTTGTCTTTCCTTCCTTCTCTCTTCTTCCCTCCCTTCCTTTCCCTCTCTCCATTCCCTTCCACCCTTTCATCCTTCACTCTTTCCTTCCTCCTTCCCTTCCTTCCTTCCTTCCTTCCTTCCTTCCTTCCTTCCTTCCTTCCTTCCTTCCCTTTCCACCCTTTCATCCTCTCCTCCTTCCCTCTCCCCCTCTTTCTCTTTCCTTCCTTCTTTCTTTACCTTTTGTCTTTCTTTCTTTCTTTCTTTCTTTCTTTCTTTCTTTCTTTCTTTCTTTCTTTCTTTCTTCCCTTCCTTTCCTCCCTTCCCTCCATTCATTTCCACCCTATCATCTTTCATTCTCTCCTTCCTCCTTCCCTCCTTCCTTCCCGCCTTCCCTCCCTTTTGTCTTTTCTTCCTTCTCTCATTCCTCCCTCGCATCTCTCCCCCTTTCTCCTTCCATCCTTCCCTTTCACCTTTTCATCTTTCCTTCCATCTTTCCTCCCTCTTTGTCCTGCCTTCATTCCTTCTCTTTTGTCTTTCCTTCCTTTTCTCTTTCCTTTATCCTTCTCTTCCTTCCTTCCATTCTTCTCTTCCTCCCTCCCTCCCTCCCTTCTTTCCTTCCTTCTCTCTTTCCTCCCTCCCTCTCTCTCTTCCTTCCCTTCCTCTTTCTCCCTCCCCTACTCCCTTCCACCCTTTTGTTCTTCCTTCCTTCTCTCTTTTCTTTCTCCTTCTCTTCCTTTTTTCCATCCTTCCCTTCCACTCTTTTGCCCTTCCCTCCTTTCCCTTTTGTCCTTTCTTCTCTCTTTCCTCCCTCTTTCTCCTTCCTTCCCTTTTGTCTTTCTTTCCTTCTCTCTTTCCTTTATCTTTCCCTTCCTTCCACCCATCCTTCTCTTCCTCCCTTTCTTCCTTTCTTCTCTTCCTCCTTAACTTCCTTCCATCTTTCCCTTTTGTCTTTCTTTCCTTCCCTCTTTTCTCCTTCCTTCTCTCCCTCTTTCTCCTTCCATCCTTCCCTTCCTCCCTTTTGTCCTTCCTTCTCTCTTTCCTTTCTCCTTCCCTTCCTTCCTTCCTTCACTGGGAAGTCAATCCTCCTGGCAGGGAGTGCTAGCATGTGACTCCCCAAGCTAGAAAGTTTGCCCATGCCTGCTCTAGTTGGTGACTCTGCATGGAGTCGAACCTCATAACCCATAGAGTCCCTTCCAATGTTATGATTCAATGGTTCTGACTTCCTCAATCACTGTCCCATGTCGGGGCTCTTACCTTCTTCAAAGAGCTGGATCATACAGATAGTGCATTTAAGTCTTATCACAAGCAGCGCATAAGCGTCTTTCCAGGATCATGCTGTGTCCATGTCCTTCTGCATTGTTTTTGGTGCCTGTCCTTGACAAAGTATAGAAATTGCCATTATCAAGGAGATGTAAACAGCTGGAGATGAAACGGTGGACCTTCTTGGAACAGCGGCCGGTCAGGTCACCCCACCTGCAAATGAAAACAAGCCTGTTTGTGAAAGGCACTCAAGTTCATTTCAGCCCACGTTTAGAAGCAAAGGTGTGGGTGTTTTGAGGGACGTGTCCGAAGGAGAAAGCCAACGTGTTCTGTTCTGCTTCTTGGAAACGAAGCTGTTGACATTCTAAGGGTTATTTCCCCTGCTAGGTTACCATGGTCCTGTTTTCCAGATTAGGCCTGGTTTTAATCCTTCTTTTATCCCAGGGGAGGAAGGGGGGGTGGGCAACGTGCATCATGGAGCACACTCAAATCTACTCCATATCACAACCATTTCCCCACAAAGACTAGACACAATATAGAAATGGCCTCGAAGAGCCAGGCATCTCCAGCCAAGTCATGCAATCCAAGGCACCAGCTAGATTGATCGGTGCCAACAAATGGAGACTTGCTAACAGAAGTGGCTGGCAATGTGCAATTGTGTGTGTTTGTGTGTGTCATTTTTTGTTTCCAAAACAGGCTGGAATAATTTTGCCATAAATTGACTTACACCTACATGTTAAACTTTCCCACTGTTTTGCAATGAAGGCATTTGTGTTTCCGGCATGGTGTTTCCCCAAGCATCCCGAGCTCTGAGGATTACCTGGGAAGAAATCTCACTGGAGCATTGCAGCGCACCCAAATACTTGGGAGTCACTCTGGACCATGCTCTGACCTACAAGAAGCACTGCTTCAATATCAAGCAAAAAGTGGGCGCTAGAAACAATATAATATGAAAGCTGACTGGCACAACCTGGGGATCACAACCAGAAACAGTGAAGACATCTGCCTTTGCGCTATGCTACTCTGCTGCTGAGTATGCATGCCCAGTGTGGAACACATCTCACCATGCTAAAACAGTGGATGTGGGCTCTTAATGAGACATGCCGCATTATCAAGGGGTTTCTACGCCCTACACAACTGGAGAAATTACACTGTTTAGCCGGTATTGCACCACCTGACATCTGCTGGGAAGTAGCAGTCAATAGTGAAAGGACCAAGGCAGTGACATCTCCAGCTCATCCCTTGTTTGGGTATCAACAAGCACGTCAACAACTCAAATCAAGAAATAGTTTTCTAAGATCTACAGAGACACTCGCTGGAACACCTCAGCAAGCGAGAGTCCAAAAGTGGCAGGCTCAAACCCAGAACCTCAACCAATGGCTGATACCAAATGAAAGACTCCCCCCTGGGCACACAGAAGACTCAGCGACTTGAAAGGCGCTGAACAGACTGCTCTGGCACCACGAGATGCAGAGCCAACCTTAGGAAATGGGGCTACCAAGTGGAATCCGCAACATGCGAGTGCGGAGAAGAGCAAACTATACCATCTGCTGCAATGCAACTTGAGTTCTACTACATGCACAATGGAGGACCTTCATATAGTAACACCAGAGGCACTCCAAATGTGGTCAAAGGACAGTTAATCAACTACCAAGCTTGCAAACTTTGTGTTTTGCCTGCCTGCCTGTCTGTCTGTTTGTTTGTTTGTTAAAAAATGCAATACAACTGTTTGGTTTGCTCCTGACATGATAAATAAATAAGCAGAGTCCCGCATGTAGTGCTGGGGTTGCCAGTTTAGGGTCTTCTCTGTGTTTTTAGTGCCAAAACCTAAGACCTATGGAAACAAGATAAGGAAAAATTAATCTTGTCTAAAAGTAAGACTTTGAGATAGAAAATGATGAGAAGGAAAGAGGAGGGTGAGCCCAAGCATTACAACACATGAGAACTGAGTCCAACAAAACACGTCTCTCATTTGGAGAGGAAAAGCTGGGCTCAGGCCAGATGCTGAGATCTTGCCACCCTTTAAGATGCCGTTGTGCATTGATACACATTAAATATTTGTGTGCATTTCATATCATAATTGTTCGGAGGCCATGGTGGTGCAATGGGTTAAAACCTTGTGCCGGCAAGGACTGCTGACCAAAAGGTTAGTGGTTCGAATACAGCAGGATGAGCTCCCATCTGTCAGCTCCAGCTTCTCATGCAGAGACATGAGAGAAGCCTCCCACATGATGGTAACACATCCAGGCATCCCCATGGCAACAATTATCTCACACCAGAAGCAACTTGCAGTTTCTCAAGTTACTCCTGACTCAGAAAAAAAATCATAATTGTTCTACAAGGCTCTTGATGGCCTATGGTTGCACATTGTGTACACATAGGCACTGCACATAATCACATATGCATCCAGCACATTACATATTTAAAACAGCTGAAGACATACCTTTGCTCACTGGCTTACGAGGAGGAGGAATAGTAGTTGGTAATACTACCATTATACCTCTGATTAATAGCTGGCATCCGTATCCGTACCCTGCTCACCCCACCAGCTCAATTATTAATTAATTTGCCCCAATGATTAATCAATTTGCCCCAAAGAAATGGGAAATTATTGTTTCCATTTGATGTTTGGTGTTTTGTCTTATGTCTGTTATAACAGGCTGTGCTTTTTATTTAATTTTAGTTTGTTAAGTTATAATTCGTATTTATATGTTGGGTTGTATACATTTTGTTAATATGGATGTATTGTTGTTGTATTTGGGCATTGAATGTTTGCCTTTTATGTTTGGAATCCACCCTGAGACCCTTTGGGGAGATAGAGTGGAATATAAATAAAGTTATTATTTATTTATTTATTTATTTATTTATTTATTTATTTATTTATTTATTTATTTATTGATCAATATTGCAATTCACTTTATTTGTCATGTCAGGGCAACCAGTCAATTATTTTCCATTTTTAACAGAACAAAGCAAACAAACAGACAAAATACAAAATTTGTGAGTTTGGTAGTTGATTAAATGTCCTTTGACCAGTAGCTGGCCACTTGGAGTGCTTCTGGTGTTGCTGCAAGAAGGTCCTCCATTGTGCATGTAGCAGGGCTCAGGTATCAGCCAGCACATCAACGACTTAAATCTAGAAATAGTTTTCTAAGATCTACGGAGACACTCGCTGGAACACCTCAGCAAGCGAGAGTCCAAAAGTGGCAAGCTCAAACCCAGAACCTCAATCAATGGCTGATACCAAATGAGAGACTCCCCCCTGGGCACACAGAAGACTGAGCGATTTGGAAGGCGCTGAACAGACTGCGCTCTGGCACCACAAGATGCAGAACCAACCTCAAGAAATGGGGCCACAAAGTGGAGTCCATGGCATGTGAGTGTGGAGAAGAGCAAACCACTGACCACCTGCTGCAATGCAACCTGAGCCCTGCTACATTGCAATTCACTAATGAGAATGTATCCTATACCTACCAAGAGACTTGGCTTGGTGCCACTGCCTGGCTTTTCAGGTGGGTTTTCGGGGTCATTTGCAGTTATGGCAATGCTCCCAAAATTGTGCATGTGAATCAGAAGCAATTCAGGTTGGCTGATGACATCGCAACTGTCTTTGCCTCCAATTGTTCTCTAGCTACAAGAATGAAGTTGTAGATCAAAAAGGAGAGCATTTTCCAAGGTATGGTTTTGTCCAAGCTTGAACATTCTGGATTAAGAATCTGCTGAGCTTCCAAATATTTCTAGATGGCAAATCCCGGCTGTAAATTGTGGGGAATGTTTGTAATGGGAGTCCGACAACATCTGGAGAGCTACCGTTTGCTCGCCCTTTGCCTAAAAGTCTAATATGCTTCCTTTGCTGCTTATCCAGCCCATCTTTTCCTTGTCCGTGTTGTTGCAAAGTCTTCAGCTGCGCACAGGGAAACTTCTGCCTCATGTTGGATCCCACACAGAAAGTCTAGTCCTAGGGACCGTGTGGTATATGAATAAATATCAATAACCATTAAGTCATTTCCTTGAGACTGGAGGGTAATGAATACGGGAGGTACACCGGGTCCTCAACAGCAGCCAGAAAGGTCATGAGTTTAGAGAACAGACTTGCCAAATGGCTGGGTTTCTTATTTTCATAATCACTAAAAGCATCACTATCTGGTCATAGGGAGCCAGAACCAGGCTCCTTTGGTCAAATCTCCACTTCAGAGGAGCCTTTTTTGCCATTGCTACACACAAACACATACAACATGAAAGCTTGTCAGTGTTGCACCCTTTGTTTTGACATGCTCTAAACTAATTATAGCAAGCGATTAGTGTCTGGGTGCTTTAAACAAACAAACAAGTAAACAAATAAGCATTTTTGTAAAATTTTGTGAGCTATTTGTAGAACAAATTTGACTGTTTGTGCTCAGATTTCTCCCAGTATACTCTATGGCAAGCTGCTCATGTTTTCTGACTGGGTTTCCGCCGGTGAATTGCCTCTTTGTGCAGCAAGCTGGCTGCGGCTGTCATGGAAGCTTATTTCCAAAACGCAAAATTGTTTCCTTGGATTTACGATTTCCTGGATGGCACAGCTGCGTGCCATCATATCTCCCAACTTCTCCTCTCTGCCAGCCACCTGTTTTGAGCTCCGTCTTCAATCCAGAAAGCTGAAGGCCTCAAATATATATCCTGTGGTTAGATATCTGTTGGTACATTATATGCCGGCATAAAAAGTCATGGTGCAAAGACTTGTGCTTTCTCAGAAGTGGCAGGTTTGCCTGTGCCTTTTGCAAGTGCACTCTTAACCATCTCTTTTGCAGAGCTGAACATGCAGAGTTAGTTAATAACAAAGGATATTAAGTCCTGATATACAATTGCTTGTGCAATTGTATGATTTAGAACAGCAACCTGGTCATACATTTACACTGCACTAAAAATGTATAGGATTGTGATCTATAATTTTGAATTTTTTACTTGTTGTTTCTGTCTCCACTTCAGTCATAGAGCCTTTACTATCTGAGATCATTGTCGGAAACCTAGGATGCATCTACACTGTAGAATTAATGCAGTTTGGCCTCACTTTTACAGTCATGACTCAATGCTATGGAATAATGGGAATTGTAGTTCTATGTGATCTTTAGCCTTCTCTGCCAAGGAGTGTTAGGGTCCTACCAAACTACAACTCTCAGCATCCCATAGCTTTGAGCCATCGCAGTGATGTCGAACTGCATCAATTCAACAGTGAAGATGGCACCTCCAGCTATATTGATGGAAACCTCCATTGGACATCTGAATTATACTCTCCAGAAAATGTTGTGCCGCTCTGGGTAACCGCTGTCACAATTTGAACCCAATATGTAAGGATAGAAGTCAGGGAAATTCCCCTGGGAATGTATGTGTGTCTACTCAGCGTGGTGTGTTTTG